ATGTCCTTGAAGGAAAATTTGATGATGCATGTGCCGGTCTAAAGGCACTGTATGACCTGGGATATTCCCCCACTGACATTATCACAACCCTCTTCCGAATTATAAAGAACTATGATATGGCAGAATATGTAAAGCTGGAGTTCTTGAAGGTTTGCCTATTCTAGTTCTGAAAACTTCAATCTTCATAAGCAGTCGTTTGTTTAGCACCATTTATATATTTCTGCTGGGTTAACAGGAAACTGGTTTCGCCCACATGAGGATCTGCGATGGGGTTGGTTCATATCTCCAGATGTGTGGTCTGCTGGCTAAACTATCATTGGTTCGAGAAACAGCTAAGGCTGCATGATGAGACAGGCATTGAAGTTTCTGGTCAATTGAGATGAGTCCTCGATGGTCTTCCATTTTATCGCGCATTCTTTACTTTTCTTGAAAATAGCTAGCATTTTATGGCAAGTGTTAGCCTGTCGAATTGCAAAGTTAATACTGCAATGAGGAAAATGATTGTTGAACCATTATGCATTTCAATTCTACAAATGTGCAAAGGCAGCCTTTTAACTCTACTATATGAATGAACATGTTAGAGAAGGACTATATCTTTCTTTTTTTGATTGGTATAAGCGGATTAAGAAAAAAGTCTCTGTTTAGTAGTTCAACATCCTCATTGAGATTTGCTCTCTAGTGGTACGAGTCGACGACATGTGATGTGTGAGTTCGATGCATATTATAGGCTCACAGCTTTGAGGCTAGTCACAAACATAAGCCATATTGTTTGATGAGGGGTTTGAATTTGTGACCTACGATACAAGTTCTTCGATTTTTGTCGATTGGTGTGGTGCAAATACTTATTAGGTGTGATTATTTTTTTTAGCATATCTTTAAAATATGCTTAAAAAGATTTGGTAGAAGTTGGTAGGTCCATTAATTTAATTATTTTTGTCGTGTCATAAATCAATTACCTAAGTTGCGTTGCTCCGTGTCTAGTACGTGTAGTCCCAATGGGGAAATATCATCATGACAAATGACAATAATTGCTTTTACACGAGGTGTCCTTCATAATGTGTTTTAATAAAATATATTCATAAATAAATTTATAATCGCGTGTTTTACTTTATTTGTCTTTTTTTTACTCCCTCCATTTCATATTAATTAAATTGTTAAGGTGTTTCAATTCTTTAAGAAAAAAAGATTAAGACATAAATTAGGCATAACTTTTCATTTTTACCCTTATTAATTATTGTCAAATTTATGATTAAAATAACTAAACATTAATTAATAACTAATTTCAATACTAACTAATGAAGGGTAAAATTGAAAGAACATTCTAAAAATAGTCTTGAAAATTGAACAATAAAGTTAATTTGAAAAATGAAAAATGTCTCAACAATTCAATTAATATGAAATTGATGGAGTAGTCGTTAATTTTTTAATATTAATTTTTCATATAACATGTTTAAGATTATAAAATCAAACGATATTTTGATGTATTCTATATACTTTTTTTAATTTGAGAATATAAAATTTCAAAGTTAAAATCGGACAAATTAATTGAAATGCGGGAGTATTTAAGAGTCAAATGGTTACGTTTTTTTTTTCCGTACATTGTTACACATTTCTATCGTTGACTAAGAATAAATATCGAAATTACTATATTATTTCCTTGGCTTCAGTTTGCTTTCTGTTTAAATATAATTGAAAATTGTTGTTAATAAATTCATGCTGTTACCATTCTTGATCACCTAATCCCCACCTTTTAATCTATGATTCTTCGATAAAAAAAAAAAAAGAGAAATAAATGGGTAGGTTATGGATGATTGATAAGTTAAGACAGTTGCGATTTTATATGATCTTTGAAAAAATCAAAACTAGAAATGTAAACCGTAAAGTAGAAAATATATCTCATATATTCCTTCCGTCCCATATTAGTTGATTATTATATAAAAAATTAGTTATTACATATTAATTGTTGACCTTACTAAATCAAGAAAATATTACTTTAATTTTTTTCTATATTACTCTTGCAATCAATTCTTTTTTAAAGTGTTCACATTTATTTGTAAAATTAATAAGAAGTTTCTTAAGGGTGAATTAGTAAAATTATCTATTTATTTATAATTATTTAAATATTATACAAAAAAAAAGTGATGAATTAATATGAAACGGATGGAGTAATTTTTATCAGTCATAAGTCTATATAACTTCATATAGGCACATAAATAAAGCAGTAGACTTGTCTTACAACTAAAATATTTTTAGACCATTACTAAAAGAAGAAATTAAATAATATACTAAATTAACTATTAAACTCCTCTTATTAACTAAACAACTATTTTAGAAAACTCTAGCGATAACACGTGCAACATTCAATGATTCTGACTTTTTAGTTAGTAGAAGAGAAGAAAATGAATACGATTTCTTCTTGTGCCATTTTTCTTCTTATTATTATTGTTGGAGAGAAGTATTGAAAACATTATTGAATTTTTAGCGTGAATTATTAGTTTTATTCCTGAATTATTTACCGTTTTAAAAATATCCCTTTACTTGATCAATCTGCCACATGGTATAACAAGTGGTCTCAAACTCTTGTAAGAGTGTGAGACTCTGAATAAAAAGTCGAAAGAAGTGTTAAAATACTCCTAAACTTGGCTAGAATTTAGAGGTGCATTTCGCTCATGTGGCAAGATTAAGTTTAGTTAGTCAAGTAGAGGGGTGTTTTTAAGATTGTCAATAATTTCGAGGATGAAACTAATAATTTACGTTAAGTTTAGAGTGTTTTAAATACTTCTCTTATTGTTTTGAAAGCCAGTAGTTCAACAATTAATCAACCATATATAGTCATCATATTTCCCTTTTTGGAAAGGATAGCTCAATAAGAAAAAAGACAATGCTAGTCTAAATTATATTTGCTTCACACTAGAGAATTCTGAATACATACTAGGTATACAGATTAAAAAGTCATATTTCTTTTTCTTAGGAAATATTTTAATTTATAAAAATGTTTTTCATAATCTATCATATGTTTCGTTCTATAGAAAAAAAAAGTATTTGATCTGAATTATTTTCATGAAAATATCGCTACTAATTATGTATTCTCATTATAATTCGAAGTAAGAACACTGATTAAATGGGTTCATATATTCAACAAAATATATTATGTTATGACATGACAATTGACATATGTGGTGAAAACAAAATACCAACTATCTTAGGTAGAACTTAGCTATCAAAAGTTTGGCACAATCTTTAAATTGTCAAGATATGTATTTTTATTTAGTTATTTGTCTTTGTATTCACATTTACAAACAAAAAACATGGTTTGTGTTTGTTTGTATATATAAACAAGGGAAATGGATTTCCAATAAATGCAGAATATAATTATTTTGGAAATGTGAAAATTGAGAGATTAAAGTCAAGAATATTGTATTTTCATACTGCAAGAAGTGCAACTATACTTTGTCAATTTTCTAAGTAAAACTTTTATTTTAATGTTCCAACTAACTTGAACTTTGGTCATGCGGGTGATAATTCTTAGGTTTGATAATTAAATTTCTCATATATTATATTGAGACTCAATCAATCTATTTATATGGCAATCTTGAGATTTCTAATTAAAGAACAAAAGAATTTCAGTCATCTATTCGCTACCTATATTGATTATTCATATATGAAATTGTTGTTTACATAAAGATGCTGATAAAAGTATAATATCATTTAAATAAAACATTTCCGAAAATAATTGTTTACTCTAAGTGTGAAAAAAGACAATATCAATATTACAAGAAAAACAACCTTCTAAAAATAGCATTCTCTCTTTGATAATTGATATAATAAGCTATATTATCATCTTTTTGTTGTTCATCCCCAAAAATAAAAAATTCCCAGAAAAGGAAAATCTCCTACATTCATTTTAAATATTTTATAAAACTTTTAAAAGAATTATATTTATTTACATTTTACAATACCCTTTTATGTATCTTCAAATATGTAAAATTTATCTCAAATAATTTAATAAATTAATGTATTAAATTACACTAAGAATTAATTTTCTTATGAGATAAAGAATTTTTGTTCTTAAGAGCCGTTTAGACATAGAACTGTTTCCTTTGCCTTTTTTTTTTTCAAAATTATTTTCGAAACATTGTTCCATTATTATTCAAAACAAAAATCTCAAACTTTCGATATAATCTATGAACAAAATGCCTACATAAAAGACCCTACCATTTTTTTGGTTGTTGAAAAAGGAAAAAGTGAAAAGAAAATTGTATAAATTCCTTAACCTTTTTGGTTATATAGATATATCCATATTCACTCTGAATAAGAAGTTTTAAATTTGAGCTCTGACTATCAAAAAAATCTTATTAGGCATTATTTATAAAATAAGTTTTATAATACATGATTCATATTTAGTTAGACTCTAACGTGAACTTCCGACATGATTATGTATCCATATCCAATAGACAATGAGTCTCTCCTTGTTCTACCAAACTTAAATAACAGAGAAAAGGCAAACAAATCCTCACCGCGTTTTCCTGTCTAAAAGATACTTGCTAGCTGTTAAAAAAACTCCTCACAACCCCTAAAAATCCTCTCTTTTTCAGTTTTAATTCTTCCCCAATTCTTGAAAATTCAGTTCTAAAGCCTTCTTCATCTCTGCTTCCAAGCTACTTCACCCCC